TGCTCCAAGCAGACACCCGCTTGCAGCCGCACCTACTGGTGAACAGACGCTGCAGACTTCAGTGAGTCCTTAAACCGAATAAGTCAGAGTGGCCCCACTGAAGCTCCCTCTCTTTCTGCCGTGACCCAAGGCTCCACTCGGATTGGTTACCGCATCTCGCACATGAGTTGCTCACGTTGCCCAGAGTGCGCGAACGAGGAGGCAAGAGTCGGGATTGAGTATAGCCATGCAACTGTAACTGCATACCCAGCGCAACGACTGTACCCCGTTGCACGGCCGGTTAATCGGCCTCCAACTATTTAAACGGGTTACCAGAGCTGGGTAATTTTTGATTACGATTGTTTAATTATAATCCTATAATTACAGTAATTGTAATCATGAAAATTATGATTACGAATACTTTTATTGTTATGCTCAAAATATTATAATTAAGCTGAAGCCCCATAGCAGGTTTTTCAGGCATTGTGGCTTGAGGCGCTCAAGCCTGAAAAATGATTTACAGCCGCACTCAGAGTCGTTTAATGATTGCTTAAGGTATCCTTCAGTAACGATTTGAAAAAAATCCCTCTCAGAGTCAGTTAATGATTCGTGAACGGCATTTAATGAACATTAAAGGTAAGTAAACAAAAACCTTTACTTAACTTTTTAACGAATTCTTTTGAAATTTTTTGTTTTCAATAAATTCCAATTTCGATAACGTTGCTGTAATAATAGCAATTGCCCAGTGAGCAGAGCACTTTCGTGTTATTCAGGAGATCCGAGTTCAAACCTCGGCAAGGAATTCTTTTTAATAAAATTTTTTTGAAGTTTTATTGCCGAAAAAATTCCATTTTTTATTTTATTTAACGTTTGGAATTTTTTTTTAATCATCATTTTTCTTTTACTTTCAGCTTCTCAAATTTTTAGTTTTTCTTGTTTTAAAACGATATTTTTTTAATTTCGTTTAGTTTTTAGAAAACATTGCTAAACGATAAATATAACAACACTATTAGCACATCTTTCAATTACTCATTAGAAATACAGAAAAGTGCTTTCAAGATAGTTGCCGAAATATAAAGACTTTTGTCCCTCGAAAGACTGAGGTGAGTTGAAAGACAGATGCCAGAATTGGCATGTTCTTGGTCTTGTTTGTCTTTTAGCAAACAGTTTAATTAAATCCAAAAAAATCGCTTTCCTTTTTAAAGCAATAAAATCTATAAATCAAAAGAAAATTAGTCCAAAAAGGAAAAAAATTCAATAAAGATAGTTTATAAAAATTAAACAAGAAAAAAAAAGGAAAAAGAAAATTGTCCTGCCCTAGGACTTATATACAGAATAATCAAAATCGGGTAGGATTTGAAGAGTAGACAGCTTTTTTTACACAAAAATATTTTTGCCTCTATACGCCAAACGTTCCAATAAGACACATTAAAAAGAAAATCAAATTTCGTTATGTTTCAGGTGTTAAGCGGTCAGAAAGAAAAGTTCTTTATGTTCCTTTAATTCGCAAGATCATAAGAGACTGCAGTGCACGGACCAGCAAACAAAGGTGGCGCCGTCAGGGTACCGCTACTTTAGTTTTGCCGATTTTGACAGTTGTAGTAACTAGTAAATAAACCTTTGCTTACAAATAAGCGGCAGAGAGAAATTTTAATTATAAGTGAAAAATTAGTTTAAGTTGTGTTAATTTGCAATTTGTGAGTGTTTTCTGAGTTGAAGACTGCGTAAGAACTAATAAAATGAAGTGCCGTGTGTTAAATTGCGACAGCCGCCAAGATGCGTAGATGCAAGTTTAGCGCTGCGACAAATCGCTGCATTTTGTGTATATAGGGCGCGGCAAAGCCGTTCCCGAAATGATTCTTTATTAATATATTGACAGCGTTTATCACAATGATTTCGCTTCTGTTCCAAGCAGCCTCCTTTAGCAAGTTAACTAATCAATCCCGCTGTGATGCGCCGCAGTTTGCTGTACCAGCCTTAATTGCAAAGCAATGGAGTGCACTAAAACATTTGCTGCAGCAGCCTCAATTACGAAGTAATGGAGTGCACTAAAATGTTCACTATTCTCTAATAGATTAGGTGAAACTTGCAATATTTTCGCATTTAGCAAAATTAAAACACGTTTTCGCTGTAAAATTAACTGTTTTGGCAGTTTCAACTCTTTCTTCTTTTCGCTCTATTATTCGTTTACTTGTGGTACACAAATGCCAACGGCCACGACGGCGCAATATTGTATTCTATCATTATTGACTGCAGTGTAGATTTAAACTACCAAATAGTTCATGAAAATTCATTTCTGGTTTTTGCCTTTGCTTGATAGGAATTGTAGAAAAAATTAAGCAAAACGAAGAAAATTTTAACATTTAGGGCCAAATTCACAGTGCCGATTTTAAACACCCTGTCTAACATTTTGGCGGAACATTTATACATTTTGACAGGTACTTTCAGGAAGCTTCCAAGCGGTTTCCAGGCAGACGAAGAACATTTGTCACTTGTATGAATGCATAATGATCAGAGGCATGAACGAAAGACACGCGATCACGCGGGATGGAAAGAACGAAAAAAGTTATTTTCTAGCTGCCGAAATCTCGACGCCATCTTTGTTGTAAGAAGTAAACAACGAAGAGAACGGAGAAAACCGCGAAATTGTTGAACGCATGAACAATCATTTTTATTATGCAAATTCTTCTATAAATCATGCCGTTGTGTTAAATTATTCTTTACCTTATGTGTACACACGTTGTCACAGGCGAAAAAGAAAAAAATTGCAGTAAAGAGCCACGACCAAATTGTAAACAATGAAGAAATGTAAACAAACGGCTATTGTCAAAGTCGTTAAACTTTTTTCCTAAATGCGATTCTAACGGGCTACTCTCCTGCCCGCGTGATCTTGTATTTTTGGTTCATGGATCAGAGGTGGGCACTACCACAAACCAGCGTTCGTTAGAAGCACAGTATAGACAGTAACCAACCTTTTTGGGTTGTTGTTGTAGTAGCCGTTGTTGTTGTAGTTATATTCACTCCTGAGGAAGGCACGGGGTTGTATGCTGCTATTTAATGGCCTTCCTCAGACTTTTTCTTAGATTTCAGGGTTGTGTGCTGTATTATTATTAGATAAATATATTTAAGTATGTCAAATCGTGATTTTATTAAACGAAAATTATCAATGGTGTTGAAAAACCAAACAAACGCTCGTGCGAAAGCTCTATTTTTGTGTATTGTTAAAATTTTAATAATAAATTTATACATGGCGTACTTATTCTTTTGTGGACTTTATGTTACTTGAGAATTTAGACAACGTGCGAGCTGCCAGGTTCTGTTATAAAAAGAATTAACACAAGCTTTTCCGAGTGGTTGCCTTTCAATAAAAAGAATAAACAAATATTTGCAAATAAATTGGATTTATTTTATAACTGACAACTAACCTACGCTTTTTGTTCTTTTCTCCATTTTAATTTTGACTCCTTATTACCGCCAACAACTTTATGTGTATACATATTTACAAGCTGTCAAAATTTTGCGTAGTCACACGAGCTAGGTAAAAACTATGGCATTCGTATTCACAACGAGAAATCTCAAAATTTTTGTTTGGTCTTTCCAAATTTTCTCTTTTTAATTAGTTGGCAAAGGCCCTCAGTGGCAGCGCTCCGAGCGGTGAGATAGTAATTTCATGTCAATTAGTAGAAAAGTTCCATGTTGAAAAAACTTTTTATTATGGCGAGAAAATTTTACATTGCTGCTGTGCCAATTCGTAAGTTTTTACTGTTGCAAATTTTTGACAGTTGCTCTGGTTCAAAAGAAGTTGAGCAATTAAAATCAGAAATTATACAAAAAAGACTTGTCTTTACTGACATTTATTCTTCTAGAACTAAAAGCCATGAATTTATTAGACGCCTTAGTAATAAAATCAAACCAACAGGCCGGGTTGAAAATTTGCATTCACCTCATAGGTAACAAAAATTTACAATCCGTAGTACTTTTCTATTAATTCGCAAATGCGTTTAATTTAAATCGTTTAGAAAATGCGTCATTTATGTATACCATTTTATGTGGAATTATTCAATAAATTTCGTTTTACACTATACTTTTTGAAACTATTTGGAGTTAATTATTTTTTGTTTCTTAAAAGCAACCATGCGTGCTTGGAAGGCGTGTGTACCAATAATTTCATCCCTAGCATATTCATCCCCGAGGAAGGCAGTCACCAAATTCACCGAAGGTTGCTTACTGGTTATATGGTGGTTAGAAGTGAGAATGTGTTGTAAACCACTTCCATACGAAGAGATATCGAAATACAATATATTTTCACAGGAGTTAAATCGGCCAGGACATGGATGAATCATTTTTGGATTTGGTTTTCATTAATATTTGCCGACTTCAAAATAAGCGAAAACAATGCAGGCGGAATCGTCGCTGGGCGGTTCATCCCGTTAATAGAGATCGGTTGCCAAATGGGTATTTTAAGAAAGTCTTCTTAAAATCAAAACCCGTTGATAGTAAACTTTTTCTATTAACAAGGATGAACCGTTCAGTGTACAATTTGTTAATCAATTTATTGCGAGGTTTCCTCGAAAAGCCCAAGCAACAAATTAGTGCAGAAGAGCGCCTTGTAATAACGTTAATGTAAGTTAAAACGGTCTATGATACTCTCTTTTTCATGGTTTTCAATGTTTATTTGAATTTAGGTACCTTGCCCACGGGACGCGATTTGAAATTATTGCTTCGATGCATAAAATGGGCAGAACAACGGTCCGCAACATTGTGTTTGAGACGTGTGAGCTATTATGGACCACCTTATCACCAACATATCTCAGCGAACCGACTACGACTCAATATAAGCATATTGCGGATGATTTTTTTAATCTGTGGAATATCCCAAATTGTGTCGGAGCGGTTGATGGAAAGCACGTTGCCATCATATGTCCGAAAAACTCTGGCTCGTTGTACTACAACTATAAAAAATTTTATAGTATTGTATTGATGGCAACCTGTGATGCGAAGTATACGTTCACATCAGCCAGTATAGGAAGCTATGGAGGACAAAGTGATGGAGGTTACAGTAAACGGTTTGAAATCTTTTGATATTAAATAATTTTTTTTTTATTTAAAGGTGTTTTCCAACAATCAGCCTTCGGACGTGCTCTTCTAGAGAATAGATTGCCACTACCACCGAAAGCCCCTCTGTGGAATGGAGACACAGAGAATTTCCCACATTTTTTTGTGGGCGATGCTGCGTTTCCTCTCAAGGAAAACTTAATGCGTCCGTACCCTGGCACCCAACTTACTCGAAGCAAGGAAGTTTTCAATTACCGGCTATCGCGAGCTCGCCGCGTAATAGAAAACAGTTTCGGAATTTTAACTGCTCGGTGGCGTGTCCTGCGGCAAGTAATTGACTGTACTCCAGAAAATTGCGAGAAAATTGTGTTGGCGTGTTTAGTTCTGCACAACTTTGTGATGCTTAACGATCACAAACGTTGGTATTGCCCAGATCAATATGTGGACGCATATAGCACGGAGCATGGCACAGTAAGTGGAGAATGGCGTAATGAGTTGGAAAGTATTGGTGGTCCATTGCCATCAATAACTTCTTCACGACGCAACGCAACTTCTGCAGCATTTCGTATGAGGGACAGATTGGCGGATTTCTTTTTAAATCAAGGGGCGGTTACATTTCAGTAAAATAAATATAGTTATAAATATATGCATATCGTCGCCTAAGAGAGTAAACTTGTTAACCCTCCACAGAAATTTTTTACCGCAGATAAGAAACTGCTAATATTCTTGTTAGCAAGTGGTTTACTTTATAATACGGTGTACGCATTAGGCGATTTTCCAGCCAATTTTAGAGGCGATTAGTTGAATCAAAAGTTGGCCGCACCCCAACTTCATTGGAAGCAATTAGTTGAAAGGCCGTTCACACCAGGCGATTTTGCTTTCAACTAAAAGTTACCTGTAAAATCGCCTCACGCGTATAAGCAACACTGCGCTGAAAATTTTCTATGAGGGGTTAACAAATTTACACTCTTAGGCAAATTCATATAATAATGTGCAAATTTCAGATCTCTAAAAAGTCGCGTTGATTTTTGAGAACTTTTTTGCTGGCTGTCCTGCGATTTTTTTTTTCATATAAAACAATTCTGAGTTTTATATGGAAAAAATGCGTAGGATAGTCAGCAAAAAAATTCTAAAAAATCAATGCGAGTTTTTAGTGACTTGAATTCTTTTTCGAAATTCGTATTAAAAAGTTCGAGAGTTTACTGAAACTTTCCAGATTTGTCTTAATTTTTGTACACAGTATCATTCTTGGATTTAAATAGGATTTGCTAAAATATAAGCCAAATCGTAATACAAAATTAACAAAAAATTTTAGCATGTAAAACATTGTGAATATTAACTAAAAAGAGCCGTGCGCTCAATTTGAGGAGTAACTGTATATGTATGTATATTAGACATTAGATTAATATATTTTAACTTTTATCTAAATGAATATTTACAATGGTTTTACATTCCGAAATTGTTTCCTGAATTTTTACTGCATACGTATGTAAGTATTTATATATATTTTAATGACAGCAATTATTACTAAGCTGCTGTAATTTTTGTACTTTTTATTTTATTCGTTGTTTCAAACTAAAATAGAACCTTGAAATACAAAAACATAAAATTTTTCTTTTTTTCAAGCACGTACATATGTATTTATTTAATTGCTTATTTCAGGTACAAAATAAATTACGCTATAAAATTCAGTTCAGAAATCATATATATATATATATATATATATATATATTCATACATACATATATACGTATGAATGTATGCATGTGCATTAGGGTTATATATATATATGTATAATCAACAAATCAACAAGTTTGCGACATTTTATATATATAGTGAACCATATAAAAACTGGGACGCGACATTTTAGCAAGTTTTGGCTATTTTTCTTTAGTTTATTATTTTGTATGAAAATCTAGCTGATTACTTGAAAAACATGATATAAATCCAAATTTCAGACTTTGTGGAAAAATTATGAAAATTCTTCAAAGTTTGACCAAAAATACATTTTTTTAATCGTTATCTTTACCCAATATTTTGGTAAGCACTTTTGTAACCTATTAAATTTTAGTATAATAAAGAGCAAAATTGCAATTTCGGTTCGGTACAAAGTCTGTTTGATTTTTTTTTATATGAATACGATTAAAAAGTTGGAATTTTCATAATTTTTGCACAAAGTCTGAAATTTTGATTCATATGATGTTTGTTAAGTAATCAGCTAGACTTTCAAACAAAATAATAAACATTAAACACTAAACTAAAGATAAATAGCCAAAACTTGCTAAAATGTCGCGCCCCAGTTTTTATATGGTTAACTATATATATTAACCTTAAATGAAAATAGCCCAAAGTAGACAAATGTCGCAAACTTGTTAATTTGTTGATGATTATACATGTAGGTATACAAATGTACCTATGTATGTACATATTTTTAAGCACTTCTGTTTTCACAGGTACACATTTGTGATCAAATCAAAATTAAGAATTCAGTCTTATTTGTTACAAAAATACATATACATACAACATATGTACTCGGATGTACACTTATAAGATGCAAAAACTTTAGTGACAAAATAAAAATATTTAAACAAAAGATTCACGTTAGAAATCGGGCTCGAGTTTTAACTCCATAACAGTATTAGTTATAATTTGCATTGCTTTTGTTTGCTTGGTATCGCTCATCTCGCTTATCGTGGCGATTATCATCTCCCCAAAAGCACGTACGGCCTTGTTTTCATTCTGCCGATCTTTGTGTACTTCTTTGTACATCTGACACACCTCTTTAAATTCGTCGTCAGCATCATTTGTCCTATGCCTTTTTCTCGGCAATTTTGTTGATGATTGTGGCGTTGATGCCACTGGGTCACCAGCCGGAACATCTTGAAACTCTTCTTCTATCGGGAACAATATCGGCGATCCAGGCGATGGCAATGAGGACGAGCTTTCCTCCAATACGTTAAAGGTACATCGAGTTCTGAAATTTATATGCATTTTGCATGTGTATAAATGTGTATAAGTACATATGTTAACATATATGTATGAATGTACATATTAGCATGGTAAAACTTTACGCTAATAAAGAAATTACTTACGGTCTTGGTTTTACGAAAGGTTTCAAAAAACTCAAGCTATCCATCAGCGGCCAATATACCTGAGTTGTCGCCCCACTTCCTGATGGAGCATCCATCTTCCGTAGCTCCCTCGAATACCGCTCGCGCAGTGAGATCCACCGCTTGTTGCACTGGTCCCCTAAACAATTAAATTATCAGGCTTTGATATCCTTAAATTTAATAAATAACTTAACTACCTGTCTTTCCAAGCTCCCGTGCTATTTCAGTCCAAGCTGCCACTTTTCTGTCGGACAATCTGTAGCCCGTCATTGTTTTATTGTATAAAATTTCTTTGGAGCGCACTAAATCAATTAATTTCTCGTCATCCATCCTATTGCAAAGCAAAGAACATAATTTAATATATGAAATGACTATTTTCATCTATAAATATAACTTACATTTTGTTCATATCAAAATTAGCGCCAGAAACCAATTGAACGAATGAAAAATAAATAGAACTGTCAAAGTGTGAAATGTCATTTCATTTTACGTAGCACAGAAATCAAAATCCAACAGACTTCCATGTTTAGCACTGTTCGTTTATGTGTTGGCTAAAGGCTCTGTTATGCATACTTGGCATTGCATGCACTGCTATACCATTTTTACGTAGAAATCAAAAACCAACAGACTTTTACGTATGTAATGCTGTGCGTTGGGTAACAGCTTACACGCGAAGCTCATTTAACAGATTCCTTGTGTGCCTAATTAATTTTGCATGCTGCCGCGTTCTCATCGTTACGCTCTTGCTTGTATACGTACACGCGATGTTTACGCTCTTTGAGCGTGTACTCGTTCTCTGCCCATGATGCAATAATACAAGGTGTTATTAGTTGGCAACTTCTCGCTCTAATTCCGCCATATTGACTACCTTCATGAACCAAAAATACAAGATCACCTAATCAAAGAAGCAAGAAAAAAGTATATTTCTGAGTGTTTTTGACATCTGCCTAAGAATGAAAACAAACAAAGAAAACGAAAAAGGCGCGGTGATTGAGTGCGATTAAATTGGTATTTATTATAAAATATACAAAGTGAAACTTGATGACAATTAGCAAAAAAAGTTCATAAAATATGGTTTTCATGATTGAAAGTGTTTTACAATCGCATATCATTACCACGGGTCGATTTTTCAATGCCACCGTTCTGGCCACAAACGTGCACCCACTTTTCACGCAAATTTACGCCTTTTGGCAAACCAAACATACGCACAAACTTGTTCCGACCACACAGCACTTTATTTTATATCATAAATATGTAATAAACCAAAATTTATAATTAAAATCGCTGCAGAAAACACATTCAATCGCTAAAAAATCACTACGAAGAGGTAGAAGACGATGTAAACAAACCCGAAAAACGTCAAAAACGCTACGAAAACTTTTTTCTGAAAATCGATTACAAATACAACGATGGCTGATTAGGTGATCTGTAGTCGTTGGTTCATGGACTACCTTACGTGAAACAGTGTTACTTCTTTCACTATTCTTTGCCCATTAATATAGTTGAATGCTTTTTATTTTTTCTCAGTATACACACTTTGTTTTCTTAAAAAGGTATTTTATCTTATTTTATTTCATTTCATAACGAATACGAGTATACTATAAAAAAGCAAATTTTGTTAAGGAGAAAATGTGAAATTTTATATTTTTCCCCCATATGGGGATTCATTTCTTCCCGTTTTTCTTCTCATTCTACTGAGCTAAGGTAGTGTCAAATCGAGCTGTCACAACTGATACCACCTTGCATTATTGCATCATGTTCTCTGCCCATGCCTTGATTGTGAGTCGCTTCATTGGACACCACACTTTCTTAAAAACAGCTGATTTCGAAAAACTGCCGCAGCTACTGCCACTGCGTTATTGTATTTTGGGCTTAAATAAAATAATGGCATTTTTTTCTTGACCGTTTTCTCTAGAGCTGCATACTGGCCTTAAGGAAATAATAGAACGAGAATATATATTCTGGGTTGCCTTGTGCTCTTTTTTCTCAAAAAACTTTAGAAAACCCTAGTAGAAAGCGTAGCAAATTTCTTAAGAACTGCGTACTGCCTCAAGGAAACTTTACACAAGAAAATTTCTTAGCCATTTCTTGTGCGTCATTTTATATGGAGTTTTTGCTTTTCTTGAGAACTGCATAAAGGTCTATATAATAAATTCAAATAGATTAAAATGAAAATATATTAAAACCGACTCAAATATAATATGATTCCGTTAGTGTTAAGTTGCTTCCTTCTGTCATAACGTACTTTATCAACAGGGTTTTCATCTTATATTAGTTCAAGTTGATGAGTTAAACATGTTAAATGGGCTTGAACCAGGCAAATGAACAAAACATGTTCATAAGCAAGTTAAATCGCATGCAATTGTTGTTGGAAAATTTAACCAGTTAAATCATTTAACTTAAAACCAGTTCAGCGCAGAGTTGTATCAGAAAGCTCTCTGCTCCGGCCAATCAGAAAGGCCCAAAAGCTTTCATGTGACACGCCAACGTTCAAAAAATTTGTATAAAAATTGTATACATGACTGCCGGCTAAAAAAGAGGCAAGGCGGCAATTAGTTATTTCCCATGAGGTCTCATCGTACGCAGTGATAAATAGTGCATACAAACTAAACATTTTGAAGTCTCTAAGTAATACGTCTGCCAAGGCGAATTTATATAAGGTGGTGTTACTAGCTCAGCTGATTTTGTGTATGTGTTTCGCCGTACGGCTTCTGATATCAAATTGAAAAATTTTGTTTGAATTTCTACACACACTCTTACAGATTTTGACAGTTTATGCCGCCAAAGCAAAAACAAAATACATGTAAATTTTTGTTTTTGTACTCCTGCTATCACCTTATATTAATTCGCCTTGACGTCTGCGTTACACAAAACAAATTGAAATACAAAAACTTGATTTTGAATATTTTTTTTTTTTAAATTTTTATTGGTAATCAAACAACCGTCAAAGTTAACTCCAAATGTTCAATGTGGACGATTATGTTTTCCAAAAAGCTCTTTTTCATTTAACAAGTTAAATGGGGCTAATTTGAACGTAATATAACACTTATATAAAAAAAAAATTGAGGCCGAAATATTCGAAAATTCAAGTTAATTCGAAATATCTCTGAATCTGTTGCGCATCATTTTTTATTATAAAACTTAAAAAAGCCACAGTTGGGCAATAACTTAATTTTTACCCTTAGTTCTATCTTATGTATCGCATCTACTATAATAATTTTTCAATCCTGTTTTATGTGTTGGATAATTTTACTTATCGTTGATGTTGCGGGATAATTCTCTTCATTTGATATGAGGTTTGTTAAGTTTATATAACCCTTTTGTTTGGAGGCAAGTGGCATTAAATTTTCTCCCTTGCGCGCTCTTTTAAAAATAAGAGAAAAATATTATTGCAATTGGTGTGTTTATTTACATAAATTCATACAGTGGTCCATAAAATAACAGGAGTGCGATATTTTGACCAGTTTTGGCTGTTGTTGTTGTTGTTGTAGCGGCACTACTAGGCCCCGCCTGTTACGGGTCAACAGCAACAACAACCAGTTTTGGCTATTTGTCTTTGGTTTATTTAATGTTTATTATTTTTTTATAAAAGTCTAGCTGACTATACATCAAACTCCATATAAATTCAGATTTAAAATTTTGTACAAAAATTATTAAAATTTCGGAAATTTTCACCCAAATTTCGAACTTTTTAATAAGAATCTTTAGAAAAAATTGTGTTATGCAGTTCTGTAGCCCATTTAATTGTAATGAAGAGCAAGTTTCAAGTTGCTAAAAAATCCCGTTGATTTTTGAGGATTTTTTTGGTTGAAGGTATTTCACGTTTTTTCCATACAAAGTATGTTCGACGATTTTCTTTTATATGGAGGACACTGCCAGCAAAAAAAAAAAATGCCAAAAATCAGTGAAATTTTTTAGCAGTGTGAAACTTGCTACTCTTTATACTAGAATTAAATAAGCTACAAAACTGCATACCCAATTTTTTTTTTCTAAAAATTCTGATTAAAAAGTTTGAAATTTGAGTGAAAATTTGCGAAATTTTTATAATTTTTGTACAAAGTTTGAAATCTGAATTTATAACCAGCTAGACTTTTATAAAAAATAATAAACAAAAGACAAATAGCCAAAACTGGTCACAATATCAACTCTTATTATTTTGTGGACACCTGTATTTATATCGTCGCCTGGCGCCCAATATCTCGAATCTGCCAAGTTCCATACCACGTATAGGGTAGTCAGAAAATTTCATAAAAGAGCAAATAAACTTATTTTGTTCAAATCTTTTAAATGGGTTTCTAATTGAACTTGCTAAATATGAGCTTTTACAATAATTATTGACCATTACATTTGTGAAGTAGGCAAGCATTGATGCAGGGTAACCAAAACTAATTTTTTTCTGCGCCACCTCATACGTGGCATTGAATTTGGCGGATACGAAGTATTGGGCGTCAAGCGGCGATATATGTATACTACTTACACTGCTTTCAATGTGTTTAAATCGGGTACGTTTTTTGTATATGGTATTGCTCCCGAAGCCTCTAATTCAGCTAACTCCGCCGGGTGCATAGTCCTTTTATGAAAGCGACAACTAGACCCAGTTGAAAATGTCTTTCCACAAAAGTCACATGAATATGGTCTTAGGCCTGTGTGGGCAATCAGGTGATATTTAAGAGTTTTGGCCCGCTTAAATGTTCTCCCGCAGTAATCACATCTGTGGGGCATCTTATCGGAATGCACCAGCATATGATTATTGAATGTAGCTCGGCAACTTAACTGCTTGCCACATTCCGTACAAATCAGCTTATCTCCATGTATTTCCAAGTGTCTCTAAAAGATATTTGTATGTATGCACTTTAGATGATAACAAATGCTTATATTTATTACCTTCAGGCGATATTTCTCTTTGAATCCCTTTCCACAGTCTTTACATACATAGGGCGTGAAGTCAGTGTGGGTCAACATATGTTGTTTCAATAGTTTCTTTGAGAGGACTGCTTCTCCACATGCGTCGCAGACATACGGGCTTTCATGTTTATGTTCAATTTTTATATGTCTGCTCATTGCGCCCTTTCTTTCGAATTTTCGGTCACAATGCAGGCAACTAAATACATTTTTACCATTATTTTCATGTTCATTTCTTATGTGTTTGATCATTCCACCCTTTCTTTCGAACTTTTGGTCACAATAGTGACAATTATACAGCTTTTGGTGATCTTTCATATGTCCGTGCAAATCAAATTCACTTTTGAAGGAACTCGGACATTGTGAGCAAATGAAAACTCCATGTTTTTTTTTCATATGTGTATAGTAATTACTCCGTCGTTGAAAACTCTGTGAGCAAATACTGCAGGAATGGTGAATTTCCCGAGAGATATCTTCAGATGTTCTTGTGGATTTTTTTGACTTTTTTTCACTACTCCTACGGCTTCCAGTGTCGCTACATTCTACAGAATCCAAGCCGCCGAAACTAAATTCGCTACTACTACTGTCTTCGTCTTCGGACGATGTATAAGATTTATCGTCAAGTTTTACATTCTCGTCGCCGATCGGATCTTGAGATTCAATTTTTTTACTTGATCTTAAGGTATTTGGCTGATTTTCAATAGATACCTTCTCAGTTTTTACATCAATGTTCGCAGCGTCAGCATTGCATGTAACTGATACCAGATCGGATATGAAAATTTCTTCAACCGGAAGCTCACTCCTATATTGAGTTATTAACGATTCGTCTTTAAATACACCGTACTTCGAAAGTAATCCATTCAAATCTAGGTTTTCTTTGTCTGTACACTTCTGCAGTTCTTCGTACATTTGTTGGGTTTTATTTACGCGGTCTCTGAATTGAATAAGGTTTTTTACCCTCCCGCAACACTCCTGACAAATAACTTGTGGCAGTTTGTCATCCTCTTTAATCTAAAAATATGTAGTGTAGGCAAACATACATACGTATGTATATGTAACTTTTATTTCGCTTACTTGAACTCGGAAGAATTCCCCTATAACCTGTACCGCGTCTATATTGCAGCTATAGCTAGTTTCATTAATGGAATTCCCACATTGACCCGATATAACATTGATGGACTGAATATCGGCCTTGCAACAGAGGCGGCACCAAGTCCTCCATATTTCATCAAAAAAATTTTCTGCACTATTTTCCAGTTGTCCTACCACAGTTGAATTCTTATTCGACATTATAGATAGATATCAATGATCTATGTATTTAATTTGTTTATAAATTTTTTACGATTATTTTTTTATCTGCCACAAAAACACCTAGTGATGTTCCGATACCAGTCCTTAGAAGTATATACTCGAGTACCTCTACCAAGTACCGAGTATTTTTTGTACTTCGATAGCTAGAATCAAGGTACATTGAACAGGTAGTATCAGTAGAGCAGCTGATTTGATTTATTTTCAAATTATTTGGTCTCGAAAATGTCAAATATTTTTAATTTTTTCTCACAAAAATTCTGAATTGTTAAAATCCATTTGCATGTGAAACCTTTTTCCATCCTGGGCGTTGACATTTGTGTACCACAAGTAAACAAAGAATAGAGCGAAAAGAAGAACGAGTTAAAACTTCCAAAACAGTTCACTCTACAGCGAAAAACGTGTTTTAATTTTGCTAAACGCGAAAATATTGCATTTTTCACCTAATCTATTAGAGAATAGGTAACATTTGGAACAAATGCAGTTGGGCTCCAAATCTCAAAAAAAAAAAAAATGGAATCGATAGAGATGATTGAGCTGAGTATAGCGGTATACTTCTTTTTTTGGCAAACAACAACAACAAAAATTATCAAAGGTTAAAGTTCAAAATAAGCAATTATTGAAATCAAGATTTCTTAAAAACTGATGGATGGATCTTGAAAATTGTAATAAATGTAAATTTTAGTAAATGTAAATAATTATTTTACAATAATTCAATTTTTGTAAGAACTATACAACATATATATAAAACACGTATAGCAAATTAAAGGGAATCAAATTTGCTATTAAATAAGATCAAAATTTTTAAAATCCATTCATTCGTTTTTGAGAAATCTTGATTTAAAAAATAGCTTATTTTGAAATTTAACCTTTGATAATTGTTGTTGTTGTTCTTTACACAAAAAAGGAAGTATACCGTTATACTCAGCTCAATCATCTCTATCGATTCCAATATTTTTTTTTTTTAATTTGAGATTTGGAGCCCAACTGCATTTATGCCGCAAACTCATTGCAAATGCTGTCAATGTAATAATAAAGAAACATTTCGGGAACGGCTTTGCCGTGCCCTATGTACACAAAATGCAGCGATTCGTCCCAGCGCTACACTTGCATCTACGCATCTTGCATCTTGACGGTTGTCGCAATTTAACACATAGCACTTCATTTTATTAGTTTTTACGCAGTCTTCAACTCAAAAATCACTCACAAATTGCAAATTAACACAATTTTCACATATAATTAAATTTCTCCTTCGCTGATTTGTAAACAAAGGTTTGTTTACAAGTTACCACAACTGTCAAAATCGGCAAAACCAAAGTAGCGGTACCTCTGACGGCGCCACCTCCTTACGCTGCACCGTGCTTCGATAGCCGTGTACAAATACTTCATGGGTATCGAGCACGATTGAGGCAATACAAAGGTTGCGCCGACCTCGGACCGCTATTCCTCTCTTAACGAATTTGACAGAATCGTTGTTTGCATGACGTCAGACTTGTGCAACTAGTTTACGTTTTCCTTGCAACATTTTTTCTTCTTCCATTCTTGCTCACGTTTTGGCATTTACAGTATTGGCCAATACAATAGCACCCCCATTTCAAAGTCATATTGTTTGCCACTCATGTTTATTTATTTATTTTTAAGAATTTTCAATTAAAATACAGTTCATTCTCTGACAAAACTCACATAAACTTAAGTTTAAAACTTTTTAAAAGTCCGCAAAAAAGTGCAACAAATTTTCACCCAAATTTCAAACTTTTTTCTCAGAAGCGGTAGAATTTTTTTGAATACACAGTTTTATAGCCCATTCGATTTTAGTCTAATAATGTGCAAGTTTCAAGTGGCTAAAAATTACCGTTGATTTTTAGATTTTTTTTCGCCGAGGATGTTGCGGGTTTCTGCCATATAAAAATAAATTGTGTTTAGTCGTTATATGGAAGCAAATGAGACAAATAAAATTCTAAAAAATCAACGGTAATCTTTAGCGACTTGAAACTTGCACATTATTGGACTAAAATTGAATGCGCTATAAAACTGTATACTCAAAAAAATTCTAGAGCTTCTGAGAAAAAAGTTTGAAATTTAAGGGAAAGTTTGTTGCGCTTTTTTGCGGTCTTTTAAAAAGTTTAAAACATGGGTTTATATGGGTTTTGTTAGAGAATGAACTGTATTTCAATTGAAAATTCTTAAAAACAAATAACTAAACATAAGTGGCAAACAATATCGCTTTGAAAGGGGGGTGCTATAGATATGTCCAATACTGTATCTCTCGCAATTGCACCAGTGTGACGTCACACAAAAGTTATTCTCAAAAATTCTCTCTGATCGGCGCAATCTTGTATTCTATCATTCTTGGGTATCGAGCACGTTGCAGCCTGGTTTTGAACGAACACTAAAAACACATGCATAAGGAAAATTTAACGAGAATATGCACACTAGGAATGTTTGATATCGTATCGATTATTCTGAATATCGATATTTCATAGGACGATCATCGATTTTTTGAATCGATATTCCAAGGCCGATATATCGAAGACATCGATACTTGAAATTCGATAATTTGAAATTTATTTTTCATCTACAAAAAAAGTGTACGGAAAAATACTAAAGCAGGTTTAATCAGCAGCTTGTGTGATTTATTTAGCTCTTAAGTTTGACAAACCGCTTGAGTCGACCAGCATGCCGTTCCCACGACAGTCGGGTCTACGTAACCGGAACGACCCAGATTTATATCTGGCCAAGGACTGTCACTCCAGCAACACTGCCCAAAATCTCTTTGGGGAATTTGTATGCTGTTACAACAACAACAACAACCAGCATGCCGTTTTATTCCTCAGTTAATATATTTATTTATTTATTTACTTATTAGTCATTTGACCTATATACATTCACGTATATACATTTGAATTATGTATTGCAATATATAATAAAGGTAAAGTTAACATTAATGCTTAAAATAAGTTAACCTGTTACACTTTTCCTTCTAAGCTATATAATAGTTTATGTATATTTAACTAAGATAGCATATTCTCGATGCTGTTGGAATGGACATGATTCCAAGCAGTACCGTAAATATATCACGTACGATATGCGGTCAAAGGGCCGGTTGCTCAAAGCCTGGTTGACACTAATCACCGGCTAACATCGTTATCGACGTTTTCTACTCCATACATATAATACGGTGTCGGTGACGTCGATAGCAACCGGCCCTAAGTGTGTAATTTCCAGAGCCGCCACAACTGAGCGGTTGGAAAGGACTAGTTTCCAAGCCGCCTCTTATAAACTTCTCTACCGGCAGGCGATCCGAATGGACGAAATCCAGAGTCGCGCTATTTGATCGGACGGAAAGGACTAGTTTCCATGCCGATCTTCTTATTTCATACATTATGGGTGATCTGAATGGACTAGATCCAGAGTCATCCAGCTGGTACGGATGGAAAGGACTAGTTTCCATGTCGGACCTTTCTATCTGATAGCCAATGTTCTACAGTGATCAAGTAGCAGCCTTTTGAAGGTACCAACGTTTTCACAATTTTTTATTTGAGCTGGAAGTTCATTGTAACATTTTAATCCCTTATAAAAGACGTTCTTCTTATCTATTTCCGTTTTATACAGCGGCAGCCTGAAGCTCTTATTCCCCCTGAGTAAATACGAATGGGTTTCACTATTATATCGTAGGATATCACTCAGATAATCTGGAAGTCTACCTTGTTTTATGTTAAACACGAATTTCATAGCGTGATAGAAAATTCGCTGTTTCACGCTCAGCCAGTTTAATTCTGCGATCATTTCCTGTATGGGTGCGTCGTACCGCTTGTTCAAGATAAATCGCATAGCCCTATTTTGCATTTTTTGAAGCTTATCTATTTGTGTGTCACTTGCTATAAAAAAGATTGTTGGACAGTATATGAAATGTGGTTCAACTATAGATCTGTAGACCAGAGTCTTATACCTCCTTCCTAAGTACTTACATGATCTTTACTTGAGACCAATTTTTTTACCAATTTTTGCTACTGTGTAGTAAATATGTTCCTCAAATTTTAACTTATCATCGATATATATACCTAGATATTTAATGATTCTCACTTTTTCAATTACTTCATCTTTAATTTTTAAACTGTAACTATCGGAGCTAACGTTAGCCGCTCTAGATATGACCATAAACTTTGTCTTGTTCACATTTAATTGCAGTCTGTTTACGCACAACCATTTATACAAACAATGAAGGTCTTCTTGCATTTTAATCATTGCACTGGGTAGATTACAGTCACCGAGGGTTAAGAGGGTATCGTCGGCGAACAATTTTATCTTACAATACTTCAATACCGAGTTTATGTCGTTGATATAAATATTAAAGAGAATTGGAGCTAACACCGACCGTTGTGGTAGACCAATATCTACTGCTACCTTTGTGGATAGAGCTGTGCCAATCACCGTTTGTTGCTTCCTATCAGAAAGAAAACTACGAAACCATGTAAGTTCGATGTTATCTATACCAATATATTCGAGTTTTTTTAGCATTATTTCCCTGTCGATTGTCTCGAAGGCTCTCTTAAGGTCCACAAACAGCGCCAAGATAGTTTTCTTGGAATTCAGGTCCTCATTCCATTGTGATAAGATCAAGTTTAGAGCTGTTTCGCATGAGTAATTAGCCCTAAAACCCGACTGCTCCTTAATGAGTATTTTATTTGACTCAGTATAGTTTAATAGTTGATGTTTTACAACCGTTTCTAAGTTGGGAAGGGTGTTTATTGGCCTGAGCTCCTCCGATTTTATGGTGTTTTTGACCTTTTTTATTGGGACAATGGTCGAAGTTCTCCATTCTGTCGGAACTACTCCCAACTGAAGGCTCTTATTTACTAATAGGGCGTAAAAGTGACCCATGTATTCAACGGAGTCTTTGATTACACCCTCGGATAATAAATTATTTCCACCAATTTTTATCTGGAACTTCTTTACTATATGGATAATATCATCTGTACTAATCTCATAAAATTTAAAGGTCCCTCGACCATTTTTATGTTGAATCGGATCATAGTTAATGTTTTCTATATTCCTATTAATATCGCTGATACTATCAACAAAGAAATTGTTTAACTTGTCAGCGATTTCAGTACTATTACTATATATTTTACCCTTGATTCGAACCCCTTTGATGTTTTCTTTGTGATCCGCATTATTGACAATATTCTTCAAATGTTTACACATTAAACGGCTATCACCTCTATTAATTTCCACCTTGTATTCCATATATTGTATTTTTTTTAATTCTAATCATTTTTTTATACGCTTTCTTTATTTCATTGTATTCTACCCAATCACCAGTGATCACTGCCCTTTGGTATAACTTAAATTTTTCTTTATTAGTTTCAGTCAATTGTCTGTCATACCATTTCTTTTGGATTTTGACCCGCTTTTGTACACGAGATGTTAGTTTATTCATACTCGAAATCAAACAATTATTAAGATGTTCGAGCATACCATCAGGACTGAGACTATTCAGGTCAGCGAAGGGGCATTGTCGCAAAAGATTTATGAGGTTGTCTGGGCTGTACCCATCCCACAAAGTTATTTCAGACAGTTTACTCATAGGGCCTTGTTTATTTATATCGCATTTGAACATTATAGTTTCATGATCCGATATTCTATGTTCCTTCGCTTTTTCACATGACACTTCCTTAGCGTTCGCGTACAATAAGTCGATCAGTGTTTCGGAATATTCAGTAACCCTAGTATTAAAGTTAATTAACTGTTTCATAGCCTGATGGGCGAATATCTCATTCAGTTTCTTACTATATGTCGACGTTATATTCAGGTTTATATTAATATCTCCGATAATAATGGTATTTACCATGTTATCGCATATTTCCGACAAAATGGTCTCCATATATGCTAGAAAATCCGCATCACTTGAACTAGGTGAGTGATAGACCACCCCGATTTTCCATTTCGTTTCGAGATTTTTTCAGTTGGATAACTACACACCAAACATTTTTATCGATAGATTTGTCTAGTATTATTTTAAAATCTAGAACGTTACGCAATATTATGATTACCCCTCCTGTATGTCTACTGTACGAGTCACATCTTACAACTTGATATGTTGGAAACTGTATTTCATAGTCATATATTTCCTCTGTTGTACAAGTTTCGGAACATAGAACTATATCCGGATCAACAATTTCAATTAGCCTTTCAAGTTCTATTTTATTAGCTATTATACTACTTATGTTAAGATAAATGCATTTCAAGTAACTGTTATGCTTTTCCTGTACTGGGTGAACCGTCAACTCCATGCCAGGGTTCCTATTAACTGACTGTAATTGTTAAGAGCTGGCTCTATTTCTCCTATGCTCTAGTTTCTTAATGTAAACAGGACACTGTCGGTTTGTTGTCAAGTGGTTCACGTCGAGCCCTAGATTAAATTTTTTGTTTGCACGAATGCAATTGATACACTTGTTTATTTGCTCCTTTGTGCACTCCATTGTTTTATGATTACCCAAGCACTTCAGACAGACCTCTTCATCCTTGCACTTCGTAGCTATATGATTGAAGCCCTTACATTTGTAGCAGAGTGACACACCCATACCATCTTGTACTCTACATTTCTCCCAGCCAATATTTATTTTTTCGGTTTTGAGCACTGCCGAGAACGTATCAACGTCCGTTTCAATGAGCACATTATAGTATTTAGACTTATCTTTCTTGACTTCAATGTATTTAATAATTTTAAAGTCAGCACTTTTTAAACCTTCATTTTGTTTTTTTTATCATTTCTACAAGTTGCTCGCTCTCATATTTAAAGCTTACTCCAAACGCCATAAACTTGGGTTTAGGCGTATTCGGCACTCTAATTTCATAGCGATCACTCATTTTATTTGCAATTGCAGTCTTTATTTTATCGCGCTCAGATTCGTTTTCGCTTTGAATAACGATTGTACCACTTTTCCTACCCTGCACATTGCTTATTTTTAGATCAGACGGATCAACGTTCTAATTCAGGTCCTCTTTTGTTTTCATCGCGTCTTGCTTCTCTTTCGGTTTTATGAGGGGTTTCTCTTTATTTATTTTCGGCTCTTTGTGATTCACTATTCCGCTTTTTAAACGCTCAGCATATGAGGCCTTGCTATGATGACTTGTTTTCAGCTCTTCACTTACTGACTTTTTTATTTCTTCACATATTTTTCTACTTTCACTCTCATTTCGTACCATAGCTTCGCATAGATCTTGGCTATGCTGTTTCACATCTTCAGCTACAGCTTTCGTCTTATTGGCCTCAGCAATGCTCCTTTCGCATGTTTTTTGAACTCTTTGCATTGCATCTATACGCTCACCGAATTTCCTCTCTATAGCTTCTAAAAGGAGCTTTAGCTCTTTAACCTGCATTTTTTGCGATTCTTGAAAGTCGTCTTTACATTCTTTTATGTTTTTACTATTATTCTCTATAGAGATATTCATGTTTCGCAACACCTCATAAATATTATGCATATATGTGAGACAACCATCACACATAAAGCGCACATATGCATTGTCCGCAAGTACTTTTTTACTGTACTCATCGAGATCAGAGGATTTATTTGCCCAGTAAAACACTTTGCCGCCACGATCCAGAAAATAAAGGCCGCGCCATTCGCGGACCGCTAACCCTCTCTTCGTCGATTTGACAGCATTCACCCAATCGCTGACGTCATAAAATACATTTGTTTACATACTGTTGCCATTTTGACGCTTTTCGCACCAAATTTAGTGGGTATTCAAAACGCGACGCTTTTGGTGCTTTTGTTTTTAGTTTGAAGACATCAAATTAGAAAATCTTAACAAAATGGAAGTAAAATTTATAGCAATGGTAAGTGTGGTAAGCAATTTTACAAAAATTTAAACAAAATCACAGCACAGTGACAGTCATAAGCGACAACGAAATATGTGCAGCACCTTCAATCATGCCAGAAGAAATCGACCGTTGTGCAAGAAACATTGATTTTTATTAATTTGAATCGGCATCCTTACAATAAAATTATGTATTCATATAAAGTCCATAAAATACACCAATAAAAATTTGGTGCTTTTTCAAATTCAAAACTTGGCAATACTGGCTTTTGTTCGATGCTTCTTCTTTTTTCTTGTCGAGTTCGTCTTGCTCTCTCATTCTGGTATATTTTGACGTCACGGCCAGTTGCTCTCAGCTCGATTGGCGCAATCTTGTATTCTATCAAGAATTATTGAATACAAGATTGCGCCGATCAGAGAGGATTTTTGAGAATAACTTTTGTGTGACGTCACACTGGTGCAATTGCGAGAGAGAAATGCCAAAACGTGAGCAAGAATGGAAGAAGAAAAAATGTTGCAAGGAAAACGTAAACTAGTTGCACAAGTGTGACGTCATGCAAACAACGATTCTGTCAAATTCGTTAAGAGAGGAATAGCGGTCCGAGATCGGCGCAACCTTTGTATTCTCTCAATCGTGGTATTCTATCATTCTTGCTTTGCCGCATATACCTTCACAGCGGATTCCACTCTCACCGCGTATTAGGCCTTGCACTTTGCATCATTTTCTTGGCTGACACTTCACTGCACTTTTCAGTGTTTTTTATTTATTTGCCGACGTCCCAAGCCTTGTCGCACGGTGTTATCGACACTTGTGTTTATTCATGATACAAATATTTAAAGGTAAAACCGCTCGCTCAATTCGTCCGCCATTGGGTTTTTTTTTTACGTTTGCTAGCATTTTGAGTTTTCTCTCTCGAAATGCTTCTAATGCCAAAGAAATTCAAAACCAAATGAAAATTTATGATTTGAAATATTTATTTATTCAGAAGTTGAAAAAACTAAAAAAATTGAAAACGAAAAATTAGTTGCTGCTTTAACGGCTGCCCAAATTCCTTTTCCTCTGCAAGCAAAGCAATCTAAAGATCCTCAAGTTCCCGCAACTATCGTATATGCAGCAAAAATGGATGGAGGTTTGTGGTGTTATGAAAACGGATTTGCCAAAGTGCCCCTATGTATGCTCGACTCATTTTTTGCCATACCACCTGACCCAATGTAAGCACAAATAGTTCTTTGCAAAAGTGCAGTGCCTTTAAGGTAAAATATCTTCAAACGCATGCCAAAAGCTTCGCCTAACATGCGGGCAGAAGTCCATTACTGACAATTTCGTCCATTTATTTATTTACATATGTATGTATATTCAAATTTTGTTGTTTCGACAGAAATATATTTCTTTGGTTTGTGTGAAAATAAAAACAAACAATTGCGAAATGACGGCGAGAGAAATTTTCAAAATGCTAGCAAACGTCAAAATTCCTAAAGTTGGCTCTCAGCGATTGTACCTTATAAATATTTTTATCATGGTGTTTATTATGGTTCACAATTCGTTCTTTGTGTTTGTATGTATGTGTTATGTTTACTAGATGTGAAGCACGAAGCCGCTGCTGCGCGCCTTTTCGCCTATCACTATTCTCTTCACTTTCACCGTTTTCTTCCTAGTCAAAGTATACTTTAATTTAATTTGATTTGCTTAAACTAGTGTCACTATCACTTTGCTATCTAGCGAAATTCACTTTCCGATTATATATATGAATCGCTATTTGCATTTGAAATCGCGTTAAGCTATTAAAAACCGCTGAATTTAAAAAAATTCGTGGAGCCAACCCTAACGACCTTTCACACCCACGATTTTCTTGCACTTCGGCAAAATAGTTGCATTAAAACCCCGCACAATGAAATGTAAACATATTTTTTACATTTATGATGTATTTTTAGTAAATTAAGTATGTTTTTATAATTATCACGCACTTGTATATGTATACGCACATATAAGACCGCACTCCATCATTTGACTTTTACGCGAGATAATAAGGCATACCATACTCCAATTTTTCCAGAAATACTAAAAAATATGATTCCTCGTTTATCAATGCAGAAAAAATATACTTTAATGTTGCTAAAATTAATTCTGATGATGTTCGGAAGCACAACAATTGCCCTATTCAATTTTTTAACGATTTAACAGCCCTATTCTGTTGCCCTCACAAAAATCACCACACTCACTATTGTGAGGTTATCCCTATGCTGGCGTAAATTCGAAAGCTCATACGCTCACAATTGTGAGAAAATTTATGATGTACGAATGAGACCCTCACAAGAGAAAAACAGCCGATTTTTATTGAGCAAATGTTTTGTTAATTTTCGTTCGCTATCAGTGTCTGTGTTATTTTTTATTTTTTTAACTAAAAGTATATTCAGTAATGGCAGTTATTGCTTGTTTTTTCGGCAGTTTCGGAAGAGTTAGAGCAGGCATAGGATTTCATTTCCATACAAACTTTTGCACCAAGTTGTGGATTGCAAACTGTGTAAAGTACTGGAGCTACTCCTGCTTTATTTTTTTTTTTTTTTTGATTTCGCCTAGAAAATAAATAAACTCAGTAATTATCAAAAAAATAAACAAATTGCAAAAATATTTACTTTTCCTGTTGTTCAGCATCCATTTTTTGTATTGATTTTATTTACGAAACAGCTGTTAGACAGCAAAATGCTTTTCACCTCGTGTGTTGATTTGGTTGAGCTTTTTTCTTATGAGGTGTGGGCAAGAATAACCTCACAAAATAGACCTCACAAATTTTTGCTCACAACTCAGTTGTGAGGTTTTATTAGAATAGGGCTGTAACTCTCAGCGAATTACTTATACGCAACATAAAAACAAAAAACGTAACAAATGCATAAAAACTCTTTAGATAGTGAAGTTTTAACTGGCATTTCAATTGGCTTGCGTATATTAATCCCTCGCATTCATTTGCCCTATTTTGGCATTTTTTTGCTGTTTTCGTTCCATAGTTTCCAATTATTTCCTCTTTTTGTATGACCTTGTTTTTATGGACAATTGTATGCTACTGCCAGTATACTTGGTTCATATGACAGTGTTGATCTATATTTCAGATACTTCTGACCAAGGTCATTTGTCTGACGACTAAAGAATTTTTATAAAAAACATTGATAATAGAGAAATCGTTGCCTAGGTAATAAAATATTAAAAAATATAATATGTAGCCACCTTTTAGTTCCAAAGCAGGATATTTTCTTTTGAGTAATTTTGTTCCTTATAACTCAATCGACGTGCTATGTTTGAAAACATTCCCCAGGGCTCCAAAAACTAGAAAAACCGTCGAATTTTGACAGTACCTGTCATTCCTAGTACTTATTATAAGCTGGTTGCATCAGCTATGGGCTGTGTATCTGTAGTCTTGGGTTTATGTTGAAATTCCTTATCAAAATGTCCAAAACCATTTTGTTTGGATGCCAGTGGTTTTAAGTTCTTGCCAGTTTTCGACCTTCGGGTTAATTGAAATCGATATTATAATTAAACAAGATATTTCCTTACATTACTTACACTTCTTTTAGTACGTGTAGTTTAGGTATATTTTTGGTATAAGCTTTAGCCCCTGTTGCTTCTAGAGCAGCTAATTCCGTCGGATGCATAGTTTTTTTATGAAAGCGACAACTTGGCCCAGTGGAGAAACTTTTATCACAAAAGTCGCATTTGTAAGGTCTGAGGTCAGTATGGGCAATTATGTGGTTTTTCAAAGCGCTTGGCCGCTTAAAGAGACGGCCGCAAAAGTCACATTTATGAGACATCTTGTCGGAATGCACCAATAAATGACTCTTAAGAATAGCTCGCGTACTCAACTGTTTGCCACATTGAGGACAAATATGCTTGTCTCCGTGTATTTGCATATGCGTCTGGAAAATTATATTCAAAGCATTCAATTATATTCCTGTATGTGTTATTATATATTACCTTTAGACGTTTTTTTAATTTGAAACGTCCACCACAAACTTTACATTCAAATGGGGCATAATCAGCGTGTTGCAACATGTGATCTGATAGCTGTTTTTTTCTGGGCAAAGTCACACCACATACTTCACAAATAAGCGATGGCCGAGCTACATGTTTACATTTTATATGTCCTTCTAAACGTTGTCTTGTTGCGAAACTTTTATCGCAATGTGAACAGGAAAAAGACTTTGGGTGAACTTTCATATGCGACTCTAATTGATGAGTGTGTTTGTATGAATCTGGGCAATGTGGACAAATTATTTCACCATGTGCCTTTTTCATATGACCACCGTAAACCCTGATATATTTAAAACTTTCAGAGCACATTTTGCAAGAGTACTTATACTTCAAGCCATGTGTAGATGTATTCCAGATATTTTCCGACCGTTCTGTTATATTTTTTGATTCACCCTTTCTTATTTCAAAATCTTCATCACTATCTTCACTACTTTCCGCCGGAGAATAATCTGGGTCATCGTAATTACTTTCTGCATCGCCAAATGGATCTTTGAATTCATCTATTTTCTCTAAGTCAGCTGCAAGAATATCCGTCTGCAGTTCATCAAAATTTTTCTCACTTTTTATTTCGATTTCTGATGACTGCGATGCAGTTGTATTTGGCAAATCGGCCACGAAAACTTCTTCAACTGGAAGTTTAGTGGCAGAAGGTATTAAAAATGGTTCATTTTCAATTAAGTCGTATTTCTCAAGCAATGTATTTGAATTGAGTTCGCCTAAGTAGTTCTTACATTGCAAATCGTCGTACATTTTCTGAACTTTGTTTACACGCTCTCTAAATATGACTATAGAACTCATTACTTGGTAACATTCTGTACAAATCAACTGCGAAAGCTTTTCATCCTCTTTAACCTGGAATAAAATGAAATTAAAAGCATACATACATATGTATGTACAAATTCTGTTTTGAAATGCTTTTCTTACATGAACCCGAAAGAAATCTTCTATAAGAGTTGCAATAGTATTATAGTCGTAGCCCCTATTACTTATCGTGGGCAGCTGACTCTGTCCTGATATGATGTTTATGTATTGAGAATTAGCCTTTGCACAGAGACGGCACCAACTTTTCCATTCCTCAGTAATAAAACTAGCTTTACCAAATGTACATCCCGTCATATTCATATCAATGATCTACCTTCATACGTATGTTTATCAAATGCGTACGATTTTATTTTTATTCTGCCTAGAGATGCAGAAAACCGGTGCGATATTCAGTATACCAATATCGTTGTTCAGTATATCGGCAAATTTGTATCAATAACACGAGTACGATATCGATAAAAGTAACATGTGCGGCCTGTGCCAATTGATAGAAAATGGGAAATTTTGACTAGCTTTCGAATTTCAATTTTCAATTTATTTGTACACCAGAGTAAATTTTTCCACCCCGTCCAAAATATTAAAAATCAAGTTTTTGTGTTTCAATTTGTTTTGTGCGAATGTCTGCTTCATGATATTAACGCACACGGATTACGTAGAGACTTCAAAATGTTTAGTTTGTATGCACTATATATCTCTGCGTACGATGAGACCTGATGAAAGATAACTAATTACCGCCTTGGCCTCTCTTTTTGGCGGGCAGACATGCATACAATTTTGATATTTTTTTATAGTTTTTATTTTTTAAATTTTTGAGAATATAAATTTTTTGAATGTTGGCGCGTCAAATGAAAGCTTTTGGCTCTTTCTGATTGGCTGAAGCAGAAAGCTTTCTGATACAACTCTGCGCTGAACTGGTTTTCAAACGAGTTAAATGATTTAACTGGTTCAATTTTCCAACAACAATTGCATGCAATTTAATTTGCTTATGAACTTGTTTTGTTCAATTAACTGGCTCAAGCTCATTTAACATGTTTAACTCGTCAATTTGAACATAGTATTAGATTAAGTAAACTGAGTTTAAATTGAACAGCTGGCTGACATTTGATTGGCTGATCATAGTTTAAACCAGCGAGATTGGGCGTTTAAACTCCGTTTAAACCACGGCCGTGCACTGAAAATCTCTCCCTAATAGTCAGTAATAAATAATAGTTACGAAAAAAAGTTTAATGGCTAAATATTGGCTGGTGACCAACTTTGTTGAAAGCGATTAGTTGAAAGGCCGTACAACTAAAAGAAGAAAACAAAGTTGAACAATGCAAACGCCTTTTTATGGCGAATATTTTGATATATTTTTATACTTTGATATTTTAAGCCATTCATTTTTTTTCGTGCAACCCTGCCTGAGTTGAAGGCAAAAGTTGTTTAAGCTATTCTTCGCCTAAGGAGGAAGACGAAAAGAAAATTACAACTCTCTCGCTTTCGCACTCTCTCATAAGAAGTTTTGACAACTGAGTACCGAGGCGAATTAAAGCAGCTGTTCTTGCGACACCACCTTTATGAAAACGCCTTGTTAAATACGCCCTTCGATTTTCGATCTTCGTTGGCTATCGAAGATCGAAAGTGAAATTCGTATTATGAGCAGTGATCGGACTCCTACCACATTGTGATAGATCTTTCACTTTTTTGAGCATCAACCACTTCTACCACACAAGGTCTGAATTTGAAAGTTGGGGTGTTCACAGTTCGTTCCAAATTGTGTCTGAAAATGTAGACG